TTTGGGCTGCCTTCAGCGTATAAGACAAGCTCTTAGGCAAGGGAAGGGGCATGCTCTTGCTGGTGAGGGCCTTGCCTTTCTGGTCTCCACAGGTCAGTTTCCCTGTCACCCTACATCCTAGCCACACTATCTGGATTACTCCAGAATGGGCTATGTGCTCTCTGCTCCTTTCCGCTGGCTGCACCCTCTACCTGAATACCTTTAGCCTTGTCTTTCTCTACCTTTTCTTCCCCTGGCTAACTCCTAACCAATCTTCAGGACTCATTTTAGGTCAATTCTTCTGTTGTAGAAAGCTTTCCCTGACTTCACCTCCCTCCTAGGTCTAGGTTAAGAACCATGCCCATATGTTCCAAGGCCTCCTTTTGCATGCCCCTGTTTGACTCTTGTTCCGCTGTAATGTGATAGTAACAGAAACTGCTTACCATTATTGAATATTCACCATCTGCCAGGCTCCATACTAAATACTGTATATGTATTACCTCATATAAGCCTTGCAACAACCTTTGGTGGTAGGTACTATGATGAACCCCATTAAGCTGATAAGAAAACTGAAGCTGAGAAAGGTAAAGTAGCTTGTCCAAGGCCACAACTACTCAGCAGGAGACACTGAATTCAAAGCCAGGTATTGGATTCCTAAACCTGTGCTCTTAACCACTGCACTATACAACTAGAGTTTCTTTGCCCCACACCATGTGCATTTTAGGGATAGGGATGCTCTTTATCTTTGTATCCACAGCACCTAGCACAATGCCTGGCATATAAAAAAAAAAGTTTGTTGAATGAATGCAAAAAAACAAATGAGTAGTAAAGACAAGGAGAGAAAGGGAAGTGAGAAATTGGGCAGAGCGATCGCAGAGTACTCCTTCGTGAATTTTAGCTAAGTGGGGAGAAAGAGTGACAAAGAGTCAATCGGGCCGGCCTTGTGGTGCAGTGATTACATTCACACGTTCCGCTTTAGCAGCCCCAGGTTTGCCGGTTCGGATCACGGATGCGGACAGGGCACCACTTGGCAAGCCATGCTGTGGCAGCCGTCCCACATGTAAAGTAGAGGAAGAGGGGCATGGATGTTAGCTCAGGGCCAGTCTTCCTCAGCAAAAAGAGGAGTATTGGCAGATGTTAGCTCAGAGCTAATCTTCCTCAAAAACAAAAAAAAATAAAAAGGGCCAATAGGGTGATAGCTAGAGGGATACACAAAATTGAGGAGTGTGTGTGTGTGTGTGTGTGTGTGTGTGTAGATGGAAGGGACTTAATCACACTACCAGGCTGAAGAAAAGGAGGCAGTGAAAATAGAAAGCCTGAAGACAGGAGAGAAGGGATCCGGAGATAGAGCCTGTTCCCAGTGCTCACACGAGGAGAAGCAATCAAGCAAAGGCTGGATGATGTGAGTCAGTCCTTGGGCATCACATGCACATTCTAAGTTCAGACTTTTACCTTATAATATTTCTTGAAGGATGTATCTCCTTGAGCCTTGCATTTAGAAAGTGTTTTAAAAGTATTTATTGGTGATTGCATCAATGAATGAAATAAAATTGTATTAATCTAAACTGTTTTGCCCACATTTGCAGCTGCTCTATAGGTCAAGTCTGAAACATGCTAAGTAATGAGACTAGGCAGGACACAGACCATGAGAAAATGAAGAAGCTCTGGAGAACAGATAGTCCAAAACCCCGATTATGCAAAAAAAGAAACAGAGGCCCAGAGAGGCTAGGTAAGTGACCCAGGACTACACAGCTACTCAGTGGCAGGAGAGTCACACCTGGCCCCTGAAACTTCAGACTCAGGTGGGGTCTCATGAACCTCACCTTTTTTTATTTGGCATTATGAGCAGCATACCAACATGGAGTCAGAGAGAATCGAAGGCAACCCTTAGCTTTGCAAATGATCTGGAAAGACTACTGTGATGACTAGGAGGTAGTGCGCGTGAAGCACCTGACACATTATCTTGTACGTAATAGGTGCTCAAAAAGTGGCTGCATCTGTGTGACTCCACAATGGGTAGCCCCAAGAAAGACACCTGTTTGTGTGTGTGTTTTCACCTGCATCAAGCCGACTGCCCAGGGTAGTTCCATTGCATTCCATTCAGACTTATGGGAAAGGATCTTTGATTACTTTAAAAATAAGTTTAGAGGGCTGGCCCCATGGCTTAGTGGTTGAGTTTGACATGCTCTGCTTCTGAGGCCCAGTTACACAGGTTCAGATCCCGGGTGTGGACCTACACCACTTATCAGCCATGCTGTGGCAGCAACCCATATATAAGATAGAGCAAGATTGGCACAGACGTTAGCTCAGGGCTAATCTTTCTCAGCAAAATAAATAAATAAATAAGTTCAGCAGTCATGGATTTACTGAGTGCAACCTGAAATAGGAAAGTTTCGGTGCTCCTTCTGGGAACAGCTATACATGTGAGTTTGCTGACAAAATCCATTATCTGCATCTGTAAGACTGAGGCTCAGATCTAAGGTGAGAAGGGGTATTTCACCAAGTGCAGCCTGAGGCCCGCTGAGAAACACTGCCCTGGGTCTGGCGAATTCACCAAAGTCAAAAACACTTCCATGCCCTAGTCCCACCCTCCCCACCCCACCTACCCCAGCCTGTAGGAGGCCTTGGAGAGGCTGGCTGGCTCTGCACTATTCATTCGCCATGTTTTCCATAACAGCACTTCTGCAGTCTCCATGGTGAGAACAAGAAGAGAGAGGCCTGAGGAGGGTTATGAGAGGGGCACGGTGAGCTTGTTAGCTTGTGAGCCTGAGCAGGAGAGGTTGCAGCGTCCCTAACTTGAGAAGTTTAGGTATATGTTTGTTCAGATCCCTTGTGTTCTAACATTGCATGGTCTAAGGATTCCGTGTGTTCCCTTCTGCCCCCACAGCCACTCATTTGTTCATTGTCCTCATTAGAGCCTCTCCCACCCATGCCCAGGGCTGTGGGGGCCTCATACAAGCCACTGCAGCTGAACTGGACTTCCCCTCTTTGGGGACAGGATGTGCTCCAGGCGTCACTTCCTATCTTCCCCCTGCTTCAATCTTTCTCTTGTCTAAGACTTCTCAGCCTCAACCCTATTGACATCACTCCCAGATTCTCCTTCTTTTCTGGCTTTCATTTAGCTTCTCCTTAATGCAGTGTCTTTGGATCAACCCCCTCAGCATCATGCTGGCAGCTGAAGACAACAGAGTCCTGCCCTTGGGGCCAACCCAATGGCCAAACTTCAGGGGAGGAGGAGGGGCTTCAGATATCGTGTAAGTTCTGCTTCTGCAGCAGACGCTATTATTGCCCTCCGCCACCCCAACCACGCTATCCCTTGGACTTTAAAGTTTTAGTATTTGCATCCCTGTGCCTGAGAGCTTTTGCCCTCAACTTTCTCATGTGGGGGACTCGAATTGGCCACCCCAAGATATGTCTCTTTGGCATGAGGAATATTTTGGGCTGGTACTTTTAAAAGCTGCAGACAGGACAGAAACTCTGAAAAGCAGAGTTTACTTACCCTTTGTTAAGAAATATTTACATTGTAAAGGAAATTTCCATCTGTAAAGGTGTCTCCCTCTCTGTACCAGGAAGGAGGGATGACCTTATCTCTAGACACTCATTCATGCAGAAGGCAAGGACTTAAATCTGCATAATAACCCGACCCTTGCTTACTGTACTTTTCTGGTAATCTCCTGTAACTGACTCCCCCAATCCCCAACATCCTCCTTTGTCGTTAGCTGAAGATGACATTTAAGGTGGTGGCTTCAGCCATTTTGGCGAGTTGCTCAGGTTGCCTGAGCCTCTCCCATGTATACATGTTATAAAGCTCTGTTCAATTTTCTCCTGTTATTCTGTCTCATGTGAATTTAATTCGTTCTCTGGCTAGAAGAACCCAGAGCAGGTAGAGGAAATGTCTTCCTCCCCTACATTCAGAAGGACCATAGCCCTGAAAGCAATTCTCAATGAAGACTGATGGGAGGCGGTACACAGATACCCCAGCTCCCTCATCCCCCAGATGGTATGATTCTGAGGCATGTGTTTCACACGTGGGTTTCCTGTGGGTCAAGGTCTAGTTGCCCACTCGGGTAGCTGGTTTAGCTCACACATTATTGGCTGCCTTCTTCTCTATCGCTTTCCCACTCCCCTGCCAGTGGCCCCTGCATCTCCCAAATGAACTACTTCTGCTCAAATCTCTGTCTCAGAGCCTCCGTCTGGGAGAACCCCTATCAAGACAGTTTCAAAATTCTTTCCTTGGTGGAGACTTGGAAACAGAGCTAGACTAGAGAGTAAGGCAGCTAGGACACAACATTTAAGGAGATGCTCACTCTCAGGGTTGTGCAAGTGGTGACCCTGCACTCTCATGGCCCTGAGAGTGCCTCCCTAAATGTGAGCCCTAGGCAATTCACTGGCCTCACCACAGTCCTGGCCCTGCTGGAGAAGGTACCTGAAGTGGCATCCAGAACTAAACTCCTATTGTCTGTAATAATCTTGCCAGTCTAGAGTTGTTTATCGTTTCATATCCATGTGTTTGCTGTTTACAGGAGTATTTTTTATTTTTAAATGTAATCTCTGACAGGGCCTGTGCTAATCTGAATTATCTTTAAATTATGCAGTATGGGACCATATGTTTAAAAATCCAACACTATGACCTTCCTTCATGTGTTCATTTATTTTCATAAATATTTAAGGAACATCTACTATGGGTGAGCAAAGATATCGTGATGCTAAAGATGCTATGAAGAGCAAAAAAATAAACAACTTTCCCAACTCTGATTCAAAAGTCATGTCATTATCAGAATTATTAATTTAAAAGACACATTTGGACGTGCTACTCCACTGACTGAAGACTTCTGAGAGACTGCATATCCTTAGGAAGGTGTCCATGATGATGGCACCTGGCTCCTGGCTCCTTTCCAGATTTATCTCCTGTCTCTCCTCTCCATTTACTGTGTGTTCTAGCCACCCAGGAATACTTATGGCCCTCTTTCTGTACTTTGTGACTTTGCTTATTACCTATGAAATCTCACTTATCCTTCCAGATTTGGGAGACGGGGCACTACTTCCATAAGACTGTCTGGATCCTTCCCTGCAGAAGTAACTGCTCTCTGAACTGTCCTGGTAACAGTTTTACACCTTTATCATGGTATGTACTATATTTCACAGCTTAATTTTTACACATCTGCTTCCAGAGCTAGATTGTAGGTAACTCAAAAGCAGAGGCCTTCTCTTTAACCACTTCCAGGCATCTAGTATGGAGCCCCTCTCAGAGTAGGTACTAAACATATCTGAAGGAATGAATATGATTCTTTTGGGAACTTAAAACCTATTAGGATATATCATCCACAAAATTGTTTCATAAGTCAGACAACCATCATTCATTTTTTAAATAAATATTTTAATAAGAAATAGTGCATAACAACTTATATTCCTCAACAGGAACACAATCCATATGGATTCCTAAGACATATTAATTAAGAATAGGTTTGGATGTAAAAAGCAAAAACAAAAACAAAAACAAATCCCCAAATAACAGAGGTTTACAGAAGATAGAAGTTTTCCACTCACGTAGCGGAGTCCAAAGGCGGGATCCAAGACTGGTGTGGCCAAAACATAACTCTCAAAGACTCAGGCTCTTTTTACCCTGCTGTATTTGCCATCCAGCACAGCCGTCACATCTCTCTTGCAGCCAGCTTGAAGGAGGAAGAGCCAAAGCAAGACATACATGCTCACCCCCACCCCACACTTTTTGAAATTTGCATACAACACCTACATCTGTAGCTCAGCGTCCAGAATTTAGTCACACGACCACATCTAGCTGCAAGGGCAGCCTGAAAATGTAGTCTTTATTTCATATTGGCCAGAATATTAAGTACCAGAATAGTAAGTATTCCATTACTAAGGAAGAAAAGTGGAAATGGGTTTGAGGCAGACAATGAGCAGTCTCTGCTCCACTTAACGCGCGTGTTGCCCAGACCTATTTATTCAGGCAGAGATGAGCTCCTGCACAATGCAGTGTGCCCAGAATCATTTGTGCAGCTAGTTGACCAAAACAATACATTTCATATGAGAAAATGTGCTCTACACTTGGTCCTCTGGAATAAACTTGGCACTCAATAAATCATGATAATTAAGGAAGAACACCTGAAATTGCTTTGGACAATGCAGCTTTCTGATTAACCTGAAATATATCCTCCATAAAGGTCACTTTTGTCATCGAGAAGGTAAAACATGGTATACATCTTCCACTCAAATGAAATGCCTGGAGCTACATGACTAGTCATTTGTTGGTGTTGTTTGTGGCATTAGACTGGCATTTTAGATCAAAACAGCAAGGCAGTATACAGTTGACTCAAGAAGCCGGAGACCTCAGGTTGGGTGAGAGTTGTAAATCCCCTCCCCCAGCATCTGTTTCTCTCCCATAAATTGGGAAGAATAATACATTCCTTCCAGAGATTTTGTGAGGATTAAATGGGAAAAGGAACATATGTGAAAGGGTTTTCAATTTTCAAATACATCATTGTTCTAAGACTTTTACACAGGAAGCTGATATCAAACCGTTTGATGTAAGAGATAAAGTAAAACACAACAGCAATTGTGCTAGGGCTAAGGAAGAGAGAGCTTGAAAAATGGAAGGGCCTCTCACATATTGTTTGAACCCCAGGGTTGGACAGCCTTCACAGAGCAGGCACATTGCCAGCATGCCAAGCCACGAGGCAGAGGTGCTGGGAGTTCTACACCACTGCCTCCAGCTCCTCTCAGATTATCTGCAGCCATCTCCTACCCTGGAGGGAAGAAAAGAGAAGGGAAAATCATCAGGGGCTAGGCTGGCCAGTGTCTGGCTGAGTGCCCCAGAGCTGGCTTGGATTGTGGAAGCTGAAGCTGGCACTGGAAAGTTCCCTCCCTGGCTAATGTGTCAGGCTACGGTATTCTGGAGAAAGCCTCAGTCCCCAAGAGTAAACATTTTGTCTGACTTCTGCTTTAAAGAGAATGTGTCGAGTGCTTCATCAAATTAAATATAATTCTATTTCTAGATTTACTTTAAATTAATGATTATTTTAAATTTTTCTAGGCATTAATAAGTTACCTTTCCAAACCAGTCATTTGAATTTACACTCTTATCAAGAAAGTGTGAGAATACTTATTTTCTTACATCTTCATCAACCTGGTATTATCAGTATTTTATATCTTTGCCACTCCAATGGACAAATAGTGATTATCTTTATTTGTTTTCCGTTAGAGCAGTTGAGTATCTTTTTTTCTATATATTTATTGGATAAGTTTTTTCTTCCTTTCCTTTTAACTCCATGTGTGATCCTTTGATCACATTTCTATTGGATTGTTCATTTTTCTTTTTATCAAATTTTAGAAGTTTAAAAATATATTAAGAAATATATATTCCTTTGTCATGTATTTTGCAAACACTATTTTCCTTGTTTGCATTTTTTCATTTCCGTTTTAATTGTGTTTTTTTCTATACAGAAATTTTAACATTTAACTAAGCAAACTGGTCAATCTTTCCTTCATAGCTTTTTTTTTTTTGCTGATATTGGTCAATCTCTGAAATTCTCAGATTTGAAATCCTTGCTCCCAATCCAGCCACAGACTAGACAGGAGTATTGGCGTAGGTTTATACTAAATAAATAATATCATTATCCCAGCCTCCACTTCCAACTGTATTCTTTAAATCAATAAAACTCAAATGTACTTTTTTTCAACTTGAATTACCTGCATTTGAAAAAAAAATTTTGGTGCCAGCCGGCTGACATAGGCAGTTAAGTTCACATACTCTACTTCAGCAGCCTAGGGTTTGCTGGTTCAGATCACTTATCAAGCCATGCTGTGGAGGCATCCCACATATAAAATAGAGGAAAATGGGCAGCAGATGTTAGCTCAGGGCTAATCTTCCTCAAAATTAATTAATTAATTAATTAATTGATAAAAAGTTCAGTGTTGGGCTACTGAAGGTGTAATGACACATAAAGGAGAGTTTCTTGGCCAGGTCTGATGTAATTAGGAAAACATTCAGGCAATACTTGAAAATACAAGGGAATAAGCAATAATAAAACTTGGCAGACGACTTACTGAACTGCCATTTATTTTCTTGCAATTTACTTGAAACCCGGTGGAATAAGACTGTGCTAACTAACACTTTGTTCCTCTGCTTCCCACAAGAGAGAGATCCTAAAGGTTTTTCAATCTTGCATGTAAAAATCATCTTCAGAATCCATTTCTAGTTCTACTTTCTCTTTTTAGCTTTCCCGGATCTTCATAGTCTTTCTTGGGCTCTGGTGCACCAATGCCTTTTATTTTCAATTCAAACTTCCTAACAATTAGAACATGGGGCTGAGGGAAGGATGGAATGGGCTGCCTTGGGAAGCCTTTCAGCTTCCCAGATTGAAAGCGTTCCAGAGAACCTGAACACCTGTCAGGAAACAGTGGGCCAGGAACTCTAATAATGAGTGGAGTTTATATGACCTGCAATACACTTTTCAAAACAAACATATTGTCTCCCTTAAGCCTTAGCACATGCATGCACAGACTCAAAAACTATTCTACAGAAGAGAGGAGTGTCTAGGTTAGAAAAATTCTTTATCACCTTATAATTTCAGCTTATTGGTATTGACCAGGCCACTTTTAACTTCTAGTTTTATCCAGTGTCAGATAGATACGTTTGCTAATTTGAAAATCCTAATGCTTAAGAAAAAAAAGAAGAATAGAAAGAAATATACATGTGTGTGAGTTTATATGCATAGAAAAATCTGGAAGGGCAAGCATCAAAACATTTTAGTGTTTATCTCTGAGACGTGAAGTTATGGGTGATTTCAATGTTTAATTTTTGTTATTCTCCATGTTTCAGATTTCCTATGAGAAAAGATTTATGTTTACAATTGGATGTCTGTCTATCTGTTTATCTGTATATATAGGTTTTTTTCCCCTTGGCAGGCTGGAATACAGTGGAATCAGCAATGATTGCCAGGGGACAGGGCTAGGAATCTTGTGAGGTTATCTATATCTAGAAGAAAAGAGGTGCTAAAAACAGAAAAGGCTACGAGCACTAGGCTGACACCCAGGGCCAGGCCCACAAGGAACTATTCGGGGAAGTCAGTTAAGGCAGCAAGAATCCACGGCCCAGGTGTGGGAGAGCGAGCAGGCTGGCTCTCTATCATACAATTTGGTTTTAACTCAACAGAAGGAAAAATCTTCTCACTCTCAGAGCTTGTTGAAAACCAAACGGAGATCACCATAAAGAGTGATCTCCAAATGGAGCAAGAACGCTCATGGTGATCCACTGGGGTACAAGACGCAAACAGATTTTGAGTCCCTTCCACTCTCGAAGTGTCGTAAGGAAAGAGCAGCAGTTCCACCACATGGAGTGCTGACAGAGGCAGCCTCACTCCTCAGCTGGCTTTCAGTTGTTGTGATGTGTAGCGTGTCAGATGTACCCAGTGAGGATGTTATCTTGATGTAACTAAAGTAGTCCCAACAAAATGCATAAGTGGCTTAAAATGATTCCTGCAAATAACCATTACAAGAGCAAGAGAACACCGAGGAAATGGCAGAGCTGGCCCTTCTCCAACACTGAGAGCAAGCTGTTTGTCAGCCCTGTTACGATCTGGCTAGAAGTGGTCCAACATAGCTGAAATTATCAAAAAGACTATTTGAAATATGAATTTGCATCCACTATCATTAATAATAAATCAAGCAGTAAAGGAATATTGTGTCTTGAGAGATTAGCTTCTGAGAGTAGGAAGCCATCATGGTTATCAAGACATTTAAATGCTCAGCATTCAGAGCATTGTTAATAATAGTATAATTATGATGAGAGCAAAGTGGGTGGATAACATAATAAAATCAAATGCAAGATCATTTCAAAAGCCTTCTATATTTTTTCTTTATCGCATCATTTTTATTTCTGTCTTTATATCTGTTTTAATAGTACCTGTATAGAACTGCACACATGCGTAGAAGTGTACCTGATTAGAAACATAGAGTATATTACTGACAGAGGGCCTAGTGCTGCATAGGACAAGACAGTGGGTTGCACCCCAGCGATCACCCCACTGATCAGACGTGGAATCTCATATATATCTATTAATAGGAGGGAAAATAAACAGTTTTCTGGGCTTAAAACTAGGAGTCAGGGAGATAATGAGTTCCTATCACTGGAGCTGTTCAGACATAGGCTAGAGAGATGGTTATTCGATTGTACTGCACAGGGGATTCCAGTAGCCTTTGGAGAATTGGACTAGATGACTTTTAAAGACTTTTCAACCCTGAATTCTATATTCCCATGATTCTTCTCTTTCCAGTGTATTTTAGTTCAACTTCTTTCACGGAGTTTATCCCATTCTGCCTTTTATTATGTTGATTTATGTATGTATTTATCTCTTCTGATAGATTAAATTCTTTGAGGGCAGAAGTTATTTCGCATTCTCGTTGTATCCCCAAATTACCTGAAACCATGCTGTGCACATTGGAGATATTCAATAAATGCTTGTCAATTTAAATAGTAAAATGTTATTATCTTTAATAAAGTGAAAAGTATTGTCTCACTATTTGGGGAATAAAATAAATGGAATACCAAAGAAAGCAGTAGAGGAAGTTGTTCAGAGGCCTCAGATCATTTTTGACATTGACCGTAGATCATTTTTAGGATTGAATGCACCGCCATGTATTAAAATGTTGCCCTTGCACAAAGACAGTGGGGCTGCCTCCTCACAACCAGGTCAGGGCACTGCATGGGGTTTTGCTTTCCCAGTGATTATCAATCCACATGTGTTTACCAAGCAGTTATCCTGTGTCAAGAGCTGTGTTGTACACTGTGAGGATTAGAAATAAATAGTTATATGGTTTCTGTTCTCAAAGAGCCCAGAATTTAATTCAGGAGACAAAGGAAAAGACACACTTATGAAGCGAAGAATGCTGAAATACCAGATATTACAACATTGGAAACTGGTTCCAACTGAATGCTCTAGGGCTCCAGGGACAGGAGAGTCCCTGTGGGTGGGAGTGACTGGGAAAAGTATCTGGGGGAGAATGGCTTTGAGCAGGTCTTTGAAGCACCAACTGCTTTGGTACCTGATGAGAACAGTGTCTCCCATCAGGGGTCAGCCCTCTTTTTGTGAACCATCTTGGATTCTGCTGTTAGGATTCTGGGTAAAATCTGGGTCACAAATCCAAGGGCTTCTTTGCCATCAGAATCATTAACAATAGCCTTTGTCTGCTGCTGTGATAAAGCCCCCATCTCAGTGTTTTTATCTATAAATGTGGTGAATTCTGGTTGACCTGATGTCAAAAATTCCTTCCAATTATAAAAAATTTGCAATTTTATGAGAAAAGAGAATTTCCTGAGAGAAGGACAGATCTGGGGAACTTGGCCTTGCCTGGTCTGTCTAGGTAAAGCTTGAAGAAAGAAACAAAGCCCTAGAGATTTGTGGAGGAGAACACAGTAGGATGAGGAAAGCTGAGCTGCTGAGTGACCGTTGGGAGGCCCTGCTGCCTTGGCCACGCCGCGGGGTCTCCAGCATGGGTGGCCCTGCGGAAGCTGCTTGGCAGGCTTGTCCTTGCTAACCAGGCCTGGTCGTCCCTGGGCTCTGCAGGAGCTGCAGTGCTGCAGCCACAAAGAGAACTGATTTAGTTTTGTCCTTCAGTCAGATCCATCTCAGCTGCTAAGCACAAGGGCTCAGTGGGCACAGACTCTCAAATGACCGTTTCTGGAGGGAGGCTTTGCCATTAATGGTGAAGAAAGTAAGCGACTGTGAGCACAACAGACACAGGACAAGAAGACCTTAGGCAAGCTGTATCACTTTTCTATTTGTTGAAACCACCTATCAGAGATGTTTTGCTTTTCATTTTTTCATTTAACAAGTACTAATTGAGCAATATCTATTCATTTAGGTAACTACTCATCAAGTCATTAATTCAACAAATTTATATGCATGCTCTAATACATCAGGCACTGTGCAATATATGTCCAATGTAGAGACCAAGACCACCCTGTCCTGCCCTCCAGGGGATAGCAACTCGTGGGAAAGGCAGGAGAGGACCCAGCCATTACAAAGCACTGTAACAAGCAGATGCCAAGGGAACACAGAGAGCAGATACTGTCGCTCATGGCTAGGAATCAGGGAGGAATTCCAGGGCTGGGAAGCCTTGGTTAAATCTGCAAAGTCTAATAGTGGATAGGAGACGAGAACCTGGGCAAAGGGACCAGCTTATGCCAAGGCACAGAGGCACGTATGATGAGTTCTTCTATGAAATTCATTCACTCAACCAATTTTGAGCATCCATTAT